GTTCTGAAGGCAAAAGGGGGTCCAACCCGTTACTAGCGTGGTGTACCTAATAAAGTGGCCGGTGAGTGTAGTTTCAAAGCAAATTAATTCAAATACAAAACTTTAAATTCAGTTTCAATTTAGTGAAATTTATTTTCAAACCAATGCATTCAGTTTAAATTATGAACATTCAGATTCAATCTGAGCAATTCAAGTTCAGTTCCTGCTGGAACAAGATTTATCCCATACTGGACACCTAAACTAACAATTTTATTTATAAAAAATATATTTAAAAAACCACTAAGAAGCTTCTCCATCAGAGGTTTTTGGAGTAGCGCCGCCTCACTGAGTCTCTGTAGAAGCTGAAGATCTTCTCTGAAGCTTTCTGACTCACAGCTACACACTGCTGCAGCTGTGGGCAGAGGGAGGCACAGGTAAGGAGGGAGGCACAGGTAAGGAGGGAGGCACAGGTAAGCACAGGTGTGTGATAAATAAAATAAAACCGTTGGATACGAACCTCGTGGACTGAAAACGAGCCTCTGGTCGAGGACATGATCACCCTGCGCTCCGAGCTGTCGATGGCGAACGTCATCAAAGCTCGACTCTCCTGGTGAAAGAAGATCAAAGCCGTCACAGAAACCCACTCAGGCGAGGTTAAACCTGCGTTTGGACCGGACCTACTTTCTCCTGAGCGGCGGAGGGGTCGGTGACGATCTGACCGTCGGCAGCGATGGCGCAGGTCACGCCGCAGAACAGGCAGCTCATGGAGAGGCCGGCGTCCATCAGAGCCATGCAGGCGGCGTTCAGGCAGCAGGCCAGCAGCTGAGGGGCGGGTCAGGAACAACAAAAACAAGTCCAACGCTCACCTGCCGCTCGCACGGATCGGACTCTGTGAAGGATACGGAGCCGTCGTCTTGCAGCACCTTAAGAACGAGTGTGAGCGAAGAGCGAGGGTGAAGAGAGAGGAGGAGAGCTGCCTCACATGTTTCCCTCACACACTGCTCCTGTGAGCGCTCCCTCACTCCTGAAACACACAACATACAGGTTCACTGTAGACAGGGAGGAATAATAACAATAATAACAATAATAATAACAATGATAATAATAATAATAATAATAATTTTATTTATAAAGCGCTTTCAGACAAAGTGCAGTAGCAAGAGATAAAAGCACAACAGATCAAATGCAATAAATAAAACATTAAAACATAACAGTGAACAAGTGAGTCTTTAACTTTGCTTTAAAAACCTCCACAGAACAGGCCTGATGTTCATGACGCCACCTTGTGGTACGATGGAGTAAAGCAACAAAAGAAAATCCTCCTGAATTTTTGAATCACTGCCGTTAATCCCAGCTGTGTTCAATCATTTTTATTCCTCAGTCAAAATACAATATATTTTTAGTTTAGTTTATTTATTTTCTTTAAAAATTAACAACATAAATTCAACAAACAAACAAGTGTTGCATAAAGTACCACAAAGTTATACTTGAGTAAAAGTACAAGTATCTTA